GTCTTAGATTTATCTGCTTCAACCATTTTCACTTGATGGAAACCCGACTTTAAGTCTAGAGTTGAAAACCATCTGGCTCCACTTAGGGCATCAAGAGTATCATCAATTCTTGGCAGTGGATATGAGTTCTTTTCGGTTATGCTGTTAAGAGCTCTGAAGTCCACACAGCAACGTTGGGTCCCATCCTTCTTCTGGACTAACACGACGGGAGCTGACCAGGGACTGTCTGATTTCTCGACTATCCCTTCTTCAATTAGGCCATCCATGACCTTCTCCATCTCTTGTTGAGTTGCCAGAGCTATTCTCCTCGAAGGGACCTTTATTGAATGGTGATTGCCTGTGTTTATTCTGTGCTCCATGAGGTCTGTGCAGTCGATGTCATGATCTCCTTTTTGAAAAGTTGTCTGCATAATTCGCCAAAAGTTCCCTAACCTGAATAGCCTGTGATGATGACAAATGGACTATGCTCTTTGTGTAGAGGTCAGTTAAATGTTCTGGGAGAGGATGTCTTTTCTTTATGGTTGTATTTCTTGCCTTAACATTGACTAGCTTTACCTCCTGGCACACACCCAACAATGCCCCTTCCTTAAATGTCTGCTCACATTTAGAAAAATTAGCCACTGTTATGGGTGCTACTTAATGACCTGCCACAAGTGACCTTCCAATCGTCACGTCTGCTGGCCTGGATGGGTCTTCCACTACTTCCACAAACATCGGGCTTCCTTGGGATGTTTTTTATTGTATCCCAAATTATCTTCTCCGACATAGGGGGTATTGTAGTTGACTTAAGTGCTGTGACATGCAAATCAACAGATGCAGCAACACTTACCAGAATTTGGCCTTTGTTGTTCCCAAACGTCATTTTATCAAAGTTAATTATGTACTTCCTCGGTAGTAAGTAGTCCAACCCTAATATACATTCGTCTTCAATGTCGGCCACGTATACTTTGTGTCTGTCCTTTATGCCCATGAGCTCAATAGTTACCCACGCTGGTCCCCACAATCTTGCATAATGTCCTGTCACACCACAGAGCTTCTGAATGGCTTCTAGTACTCGTTTGTGATCTAGCACCTTCATACTCACAAGGGTTTGCTGAGATGCAGAATCTATGACAAAGTTGCACTTTTGGCCATCCAGCTTCCCTATCATGTAGACACTGTGTGTGCTTGCCACTTTACACTTAGCTGTTGGGACTTTCACAATGGGGGTTGGTGGGCACCCCTCAACACCAACTACTACTGGTTCCCCGAGGCTGACTTGTTTGTAGTATTCTTCTTACACTGGCTCCTCATATGTCTCCACAGTTCCTACAACCTTTCTGGGTAGCAGCCTTTCCTGATATGGCATCTTCCCTGTTTTGAAGTTGATGGCATTGAGTTCTCTTGTGCCCAGAGTTGTTACAGTACCAGCAAACTTCTCCAAAAGCTGCCATTTTCTGGCCTTGAATCCTGATGATTGTACCAACCCTGGTACCTCTGTGCTGGACTTAATATAAGATTCAAATTCAAGAGCTCTGGCCATTGCATCCTGCATAGTAGAGGGGTGTGTGCTTGCATTACTTGTATTTTCAGTTATGGATTGTCCAAGGCATCTACAAACTGGTCCCTTAGCAACAGCTTGAGGAGATCGGGTGGCACAGTTGGGTAGGCCTTGAGTGCCATTCTTTCCAAATCCTGTGCCAGCTCTTGCAGGCTCTCCCCTTTAGCTCGAACTCTCGTCCTAAACTTAGCCCTGTAGTCTTTGGACTGATTTTGAGTTCCATACCTGAGTTCTAGAGCAGCTACCAATACTCTATAGTTGTGCCTGTCGTCTGCTGACAACTGTCTAAGTATTTCCAGTGGTTGTCCCTTCAGGCTCGTTGCCAGGTACACTGCCTTCTGGTCCTCTGTCCATCCATTCATTTCTGCCAGGAGTTCAAATTGTGCTCCATATGCTTTCCATGGTGCCTTCCCATCGAATTCCTGTGGCTTCCTTCGTACTAGATCACCCCTATTGCTGACACTCATGTTTGGAATGTGACTTCTAGCAGGACTGAAGATGTATGCATTAGGGTTTAGCTGGAGGGTCTGGAAGGAGCTTCCTGTTGTCTGGGGCTGATTAGGTCCATGGCTAATGTATCCTCCCTGTGTAAAATACAGTAAATCGTCCTTTAATGTATTTAATTCACTTTGAAATTTACCGATCTTTTCCATTTGTACTTCTTGCCACTGTTGCTGACTTTCCTGCAACTGTTGGAGACTTTCTTCTTGTTTCTTTTCTCGTTCTTCTTGTTTCCTTTTTTGATCCAGTTGCCACTGATGCTGGTTTTCTTGCCACTGCTGTAGTCTCTCTTCATGTTCATTTTCTTTCTCCTCCAACCACTGCTTTAGTCTCTCTTCTTGTTTATTATCTTTCTCTTCCAACCACTGCTGTAGTCTCTTTTCTTGTTTATTTTCTCGTTCTTCTTGTTTCTTTTGCTGTTCTTGTAGTGCTGCCATCAAATCTGCTAAGCTGTAGTTTGATTTGCCACTTCTCGTTTCCATCTTCTTCTTCTTCTTTTTTTTCCGTCCCACTCTCTGACACCAATTTTTTGCGTATCTGCTTGTTTGTTAATTTCCAGTAGAAATTATTTCGGAGAAATTTCAGTGATACAAGTCCTTTCTTGGTTAAACCAGTTTATTCTTCTTCGATACAAACTTTTATCACACAGTAATTGCACAATCAATACGTTTCTCGTCACTTTAAATTTAACTACTTTTATAATATACGCTATAAATCACAGCGATTCACACACTTTACTTACCGTCACTACTGTTTGCTTCTTTAATTATCTATATCTCGCTGGCTTCTCTGCCAGGCTTATATACTAACAAAGGGGGCGTCTCAAATGCACTCTGGCCTCCCCGATCATTCATGATCATTTGAGAAATTTATCTCGTGTCACCAGGTCACGTGACTTCCGCTGTCGTAACAATAGGATAAATGCTTATACCTATTATCTGAATTTATTGTTTGTTGCAAAAGTATCCCATTATTTTTTAAAAATCAAAATTTTTTGTTTGTAATTAAGCACAAAGCTACACAATGGGCTAGTTGTGTTATACACACCACGAGTCGAAACACGGATTTTAGAGTTATAAGTTTCAGGCTAACCTTTGCGTTATTTGGGAGCAAAAAAAAAAAGTTAAAAGATTATTTGCTACTGTAAATATTGAGAATCGAAACCCGATTTTTATCGTTTTAAGCTTCAGACTTTATCGTTGAGCCACCAAGGGCTGAATATTTTTATAGTTTCAAACTGTATAAGTGTTATTTGTACGTTTTTATTTGTTTTTTAAATTTATTTGAATCAATATCATCATAGATATGTTATCAAGTTTAAGAAGTCCACTTCCCGTTTATATTAGTTATGATTAAGTTTATAATTAATCAAATCATAACTAATATTAATGAATCTTTTCCTTATAATACAAAAATATCTCTCCACCAGGAGTAATGACATCACGAGAGATGCTACTGATACTATAACAACATTGTTGGTTTGCGTTGAGTAGATCTCAGATGCAAAGATGTATGTATATATATACGATGAAGTAGTTGATTTCAGCTGAAGAATAGATTTGATTAGTGTAGAATGGCTTCTAGTGGAATTTTACCAACAAATTATTATCAACGATATGTAAATGGTGTACCAATGTTAGGACGTAAGACATTAAGGTTTCGTAAAAAATGTATAATTTTATTATTGGTTATGGGTACTTTTGGTTTAATTTTTTTAGGATTTCTTTTTTTCTACCCCAATTCGGTAATACTAATAGTAAATCAATCCAAACTGCCTATAAACGTTTCGTCTTCACTGAAAGTTTCAGGGAAGCAAGGTCGGATGATGGTGTGGTTATTAATCCAAACCTTGTGAGACATGGAATTGTACATAATGTAGAATTAGATCCGCACAAAATAGTAGACAAAGTTAAATTGAATCTGAAAATACAAGAAGATATTCAAGAGGAAAGAATTAAAAATTACATGGCTCTTGAAAATGAAAAAGCACGAAATAAGCCCGATCATGATCTAGAAGTCAAAGCAAGTTACAAAAAGAAGACAGAAGAGCATAAAAATATAAAATCTGTAGACCATCATAAACATGAAAAAATATCTTTACCACTTGAAAAAAAGTTAGAAGGAGATAATAGAAAAAATGACTATAATGAGGAAAGAAGAAATAAAGTTAGAGAAGTAAGTATGTTTTTAAAACAATTTTAGTTGAACAGGGTAGTTTATATTTTAATGAAAATCACAAAAGTTACAAGTGTCAGATCATTACCAGAAATAATAGTCTAATAATCAGGCTTTGATTTTGAAGCTATTCTTTTGACACTGTGATATTTGCCAACTCCAAACTTTAATAACTGCTTTTAGCATCTGGCCTCCATTTCAAATGAGCAGTACTTCTGGAATCATTTGCTTGTACTACAGTTTAGTACAAATAATATAGTAATATTTATAACTGAATATTCCAACATCAAGCTTTCCACCACCATTGTATAAGTTATAATAAATGTCTTGAAATCATTCATAATTTGGTGCCTTAACCATTGTATGATTAATTCAGTTAATGTCAAAAATAACCAACTAATCTAAATTAGTATTTCCAATTATTACTATTTTTGATTATTTCAACTATCTAAGTCTCATTTCAGAATAATTGATTAGTTGAATGTAATTGATTAAATAGCCTAATGATTACTTTTTACTCATCATCCAGCTATAATATTGGTTATAAGTCAAAAGTAGTAATTATTTATCTAAAAAAAACACTTTTTTTAAGACCTTGATAGTTAGGCCTATATTGGGATATTGTGTAGTTTAGTTTCATTACCTAAGAAAGGATATTGACTCATTTTAAAGGGCTCAGAAGAAGGCTACTAGCATGGTTCCAGGGTTAAAAGTAATCTCATTAACTTATTTTCATTTAAGGAAAGAAGGATAAAAAATGAGCTTAAGATTTGAAAAAAGATAGGTTACGATCTATTCAAGGCAGTTTACTTATGGATTGAGTTACTGTTGCAGTTTGAAGCCAGCACTTTACAGGAGTTTAGGAGGAGAATCAATTATTTTCTCTCCCACTTCTATTGGCTGGAAATGACAGCATAGTTTTATGTAATACGAGATGATCACCGAGATATTTTTTTTTTTGCCAATCAGCACACACTTCTAATTTTTGACATAGCTGACATGACTTTTAGGTGCATTTTTAACACTTGACACTTATTAAGTCTGCACCTTTTCTACTAATATTAATTCAATTGTTACACAAAATCTTTTTTTTAAACTGATGGAAATATCTTGCAATATTAATACTGCGAGCTGTTGTGCATGTAACATTAATAAAAGAGAGCTGTTCATAATAGTAGCTTAGATTGTAAAACTTGTTTTCCTAAACTAAGATTTAGTTAATATGTTTTGCTCGTATTATTATTTTCTTGTGTGTGTGTGTGTTGAATACTACTACTATTGCTACTGCAAAGAGGATACCAACATGTTGGTTAGGATGTAAATATAGATTATCATGTATGAATTTTGGATTTAATTCATTTAGCTATGAGGAAAAACTTAGGTTTCAGGCTTATAAATAAATAATGAAATAAAGGTCCATTTGAACCAGCCCTGAGTTTCCAATTATTCATCAACTTTTTTAAACACTTGTATAGTTGCAGCCCCTACCATTCTAAATGGCAGTTTGTTCCACAGATTTATCACCATATTGGAGAAATAAAACTGTCTCAACAGGAGATCTCTGACCTATCCATTTCCTAAAGTTATTACCTCTTGCCATACTAATACTACCCTCAAAATTCAATACAAATAAGTCTAAAATATCACTCTTATTTTCTTTACTAATATTGAATAGGCTTGCTTCAATTACATCCTCCTTGATTATTCTTTTTTTTTCAAGATAACAACCTATTCTTATTTTCTTGGAGCACAGAATGATTAGAGTGAGATACCTGGATTTATGTGGTCAAGTTTGTTAAGAGATTTGATAGTCTAGGACTGTATTTAATATTTGGGGTATTTAGGTTTGAGCTGTGGAAGCATAGATGCACAAATTTTAAATAAAACAATTTTTGGTTTAAGTTGCAAACTTGTGGAGTGGTTTGACTGAGTTTATGAGTTATAGATCTAAGCCACGATGGGCCAAGCGGCCATTTGCTGACCCTGAGATGCTGTTATATGATACTTTTAGTTTCATTGCTACAGCAGAAGTCTGGCTTTCTGTCTGTCTGTAGTTTTATGCATTTACACAATCCAAGCAGTATATTTAGACTTAAAGCATTATAACATGCCCATATGTAGCATCAATTTGATACTTATGTTTTTTTCTGCTTAGATTCAAATCTTGGTCTATATACATCTAGACTAACCTACTAAGCTCCAAGTTTTAGCCATGCAACTGTATTTTTCCAGTGTTGGAAAGTCTCCATTTATGAAACTAGATGTAATAAATTTGGATGTTTGTTATGAATGGTTATTTATGGGAAGAGTAAAAGCAATAACTTAATAAATAGACCCATTACAGGTCTGTGGGGATTTAATTTTTACTGGCACCCCAAAATCTTTTCTAGCATCTGAACATTTTGATGACTATGTTCCGTTAAACTTAAAAGTTTATTTTCAGCACTTATTTACTTTATAATTTTATACATGTTTCAAATCACACAAATAAGTGGAGAGAGGGTGAAGAAATCAGAACTGACATGTACTTAATGCGATTCCTCACAGACTGACATTTTTTATAGAGTTCAGAATAAAGCCGTAAGTGTAGGGGCTGTAAATGCTACAAGTGATGGTCACTCCAAATGATGCCACTGAGTACAGGGACCAAGACTGCACACAGTAGTTCAGTTATTGTTTCATCTAAATTCTAGTTTTTCTGTTTCACAATACCAGTGGTCCTTTCACACAAGAAATAAGTGTTTCTAACTTCATAAATGTACACTTCTCAGTATTGAAACTGATCTTCAGTCTGGCCCATTAGGGTCGTTTTTGACACCTTATCCACAATTTAGTATTATCAGCAAACTTAGAAATACCACTGCTGAAAAAGGCATAAATAATTAACAACAAATGATAAAATAGATCCCTGAAGAACATCATTGTTCACATCACATTCTTCTGGGTAGATCATTACCATTTGTCATAAGTCTTTACTTTATACTACTAATTAAGCAAATTTATAGTCTGCTTTTTACATATGTGTACATACTTTACAACAATCTTATCAATATGCCATTTATTAATAAAAGGCTTTCTGATAGTTGAGGTAAGCAACATTAACAGGGATACACTCATTCAAAAAAATGCAAGGTTCTGTGAAAAAACTTAAAAAAGAATTAGCAGGACAAGAAAGCTAAAACCATGCCGAGAAATCTGAGTTAAATGCGAACTATTTGATACTTTTATGAGTGGCTTGTGACAATAGATTCCAACTCTTTGCTAACAACAGAAGTTAAGCTAATAGGCTTCTAGTTTCCCAGATTCTTTTTTTTTTCCAGAATGTATCACACTGACACTTTTCCAGTCATCAGGAGTTATCCATTTGAAAAAAGAACTTATAACAAATAATTGTCAAAGACCCATTTCTAATCTTCTTTATATTTTTGATAAAGCTCCTCAGGATCTTGGAAAGCTTCTTCAACGTTATTGATCTTTCTACCATATCTGTAAAAACACAAGGCACTAAATTGTTGAGTACTTTAGATTTCTTCCATAATAAATTTCTCTCTAAAAATTCCTTGAAGGGCTGTTATCCTTGATTCATTTTGCAGTTGTACCTTAATGTAAGCATACAGTGTAAAAATCCTTCAAGTCATCATTAATGCTTTGAGCCAAGACCTCCTTAATCCCTCATCTGCACATCAACTTTCCTATCTTATTTTTATTTATTTTGTGAAATCTTAACATATTCCATTTTATTACATTTTAGTGAATTTTAATATTCTGTTAGTTTTTTAATTTATATATTGGTAGTTTACTTTTATTTATTGTATTTATTTATGAAAAGGCAAAGTTTTAGGAGGAAGTCTGTATTTTCTCAACTGTATTAATCAAACTGATAAAAACAATCTGGACTTTATCAGAAATGTTTACTAGCTTAGTCTCTTTTTTCAAAATTATGTACCTAAAATACTAATAATTGTTGTGTATTTTTCAGTATTGAAACATTTTTCTGTGTACATCTCCTTGATTATTTGTATAGTTTGGTATATTTTATCAGTTTTCAAAATGAACTTCACACATTCAGCCCTACCAGTAATTTTAGTCTGATTATTATAGTTATCAATAAGTTTTCCAAACATTTGTAGTTTCCATGTGTAAAATTTGCAAAAGCCAATTTATTAGTCAAGTCACAAAGACACAAATCAATTACAAACAAAAGTATACCCATCTCCAGTGACAGGAAAGGTTTTAAGTTAATCTAGCAAAAGTACCTGTTCCCAGTGATGGGAAAAGTTTAATTTAAATTATATCGTGAACTGTAAAAAGGTTAATTGTGTTGCACTCTCAGTTTCACTCAGAGCCAAAGCTCTGAGCTACTTATAATGTCCACCAAAAAAAGTAATTGTTGAGTATTTCAGGCATGCTGAAAGCTGCCCAACAATAACATATGGTAAATCACTTATTGGTGTGCCATTGGGAAATTAATTCAGTGCAAATAAAAATTCTCAATTATGGCTGCGTGAATGACAAGAATGAAGTAGCAGAATCATTTCGTAACTGTAATTTATTTATCAAACAAACTTAATTGTAGATTTTCCTTTGTAATGATAAGGAGGGTCAATAGTATATCTTAGAGCTCTTCATCATAAATGAATGTAATACAATTTTAGGCAACTAATGTGACATTGATGGAATCCTTGTATATCACAACAAAGTTAAAAGTGAATTACCTTATTTAGTAGAATTTTGGTTAAATCTAGCTACACTGAGGAGAGTATTTTTATTTTTAATAACTGAAAACTCATTCCACAATAAAAATATTGTTCTTATTTCTAAAGATTCTTTCTTTTTTTATATCAAACATGAAAATGATTAGAACAAACTTTAAGCTTTGAAACAATTCAACTTTATTAAGTGACAAGTAATCTGAGTCAGTCACCAAAGTACAGTGATTTCTTTTTAGCTGTTACGAAAGGTGGGCAAAGTTTCCTTCAGATCATCTGTTTAGTCTGTAA